AGTTTCATAGGGGGTAGTCCTGTTTTTTGGTTCTTCTGCATTGTGGATTGGGAATGCATAACTTTGATTTCTATTTACAGGTATTATATATTTTGGAAAATTTTCTTCCTTTTTATCAAAGCGAAAAAAACGTCTATATATATACCATATAATTAGTATAATCACTAAAGCAAAAATCATGAGTTCGAATATAGGCAGAAGCATATACTGTTTATCAACTAAAGCCTTACCAGCTCCTAATACAACAATGGGTAAGGCTGAGATATCATCATGTTTTTCTTTTGATTTTTGATCAATATGAAGATGGTCTCCTTGGGACTTTATCTCATCTTTTACTTTGCTTTTATCAGATTCAGACTCTGAGCAGTGTGAAGAAAAATGGGATACCTCTTCTACTGCTTCATCTCGCTTAGCCAAAGGCACTAAAGCATAATCATTAGATGATGAAACTGTATCTACTTCTACACTACCTATTTTTAAATTATTAATAAACTGATGCGATTGTGAAATGATCTGATCTAGTTCATCTTCCAGATTTCTTACCCTAGACCTGAGACAGAAAATTAACCCATCCTTAAATGATGAATTTTGCGTAACTTTCTCCAATTCATTTTCCAATTTCTGAGCGTCTTGTTGCTAACCACGCTAGGTCCCTGAGGGTTTTCTGGCTTTGAATTTATGAGAAGGCGGGCCTCCAGTTCATTTATTTTTGTCTCAAGAGAAGCGATATCGGAATCCTTCAAAGATGAAGCTTTTTGCATCGAAGATATTATGCTTTCCAGTGATTTAACCATAGACCTTAGCGATTCTATTTCTTTTAACTGCTTGGCATTAAGAGTAGCATGAGACTTTTGTTCGCAAGTAATTTGGAAGACAAGCTTATTATTCAAACTATTTAGTTGATTAGCTAGGGTGGCAATTTGATTTATAGAATTATGCATACGCTTATTTTCCTCATGTGAGTTATCTAGATCATTTTGCATACGCTCATTTTCCTCATGCGAGTGATCTAGATCATTTTGTTTACACTTATTTTTTTCATCTAAGACATGATATTTAGTTAAAAGCTGTTTGGCAGATCTTATAAATTTTTTGCGATCTTTTTTTAGCTGTTCTTCAAGCTCTAAATGACTAGGTGGATATCGATTAGATTGAGGGCTTCCAAGTTTACTGCTATCACTATTGCCTACATCATTTATGGTATAGATTCACTGACTCAGCATAGTTTTTTATCCTCACAAAATATAGTCAAAAAATATAATTTTGAAATAATAACATTTATTCTAAGTATCCTAAGTATCCTAAGTATCCAAAGTATTCTAATTATCCTAATAAATTTTTTCGAAATAATATATTTATC